ATTTTTTTTTTTTTTTTTTTTGGTGATTGTTGAGATTGAGAATAGATTGAGTGGTTCAAAGATTATGGACCCCATTGTTCAATACTGGAATTCAAGTCCTTTTGGCCATCTCTCATTGCTCTCTCATAATACGATCAACTCACCTACTCAAGTATCTTACAGAGCTGAGACTTTTCTAGGTAGGGGAGCATGGAAAAAACTCCTTTTAAATTCCCGTTGACCTTCAGATTCCTCAATGCCACTTCCTTACACCAGAAACAGCTGTCCGAGCCCTTGAATAATCGTTATAGCTAACGAAACCCTTAATGACTCACAAGCCTTTGTATGAGAGCAGCCTTTCTGCCACTTTGCTTTCCCCAGAGAGGAAGCAGGTCCCTTACCTGGATCCAGAGCTGTCTGTGAAGCAGATGGTTCAACCTGGCAGGTGACACCCCCTGTCCAGCCTCCCCCCAGAGCACCAGAATCCTCTGATGCTGAAACCAGCAAAACCACACCTCCCTAGCACTGGAGACAGAAAGTATAAACTGACCACAGGCTTTTCTAGGCAAGTAAGTCTTCAGAATAACTGCTGTATCTTTTATGCACCTCAAATGCCACTTTCAAAGCAGCAGACCACGCCTTTTCAAGGAAAGTCTGTGTAATTGCCTGTAAAATAGGAAGTCTATGCTTCCTATTTTAGCTCTCAAAGTGCTTAGTTAGATGGGACTGTTTAACAGGGAAGGGAGGGGAAGGAAGTTTGTCACTGCCAGTCTGTGTGTTAACAATTAGCAGGTCATGGGAGTAATGTATTTTCAGGAAAAAAAAGAAGATTAACTGCAGCAGAAGTGAGTGAGAAAGACTAAGAAAGCATTCCTTGGTTTTACTCCAGTACTGTTTCTTGCTTTACTCTGTGCTAGACTGAAGATTGTCAGGGATCATTCTGTATTTTATGTTTATTTGTACATATACTGGGGGGAGGGGAGAGAGAGAACTACCTTTGTCTCTGTAACCCTTTGAGTAATAACAAGATATATAGGAAAATTCAGTAGCCATACAGGAAAGACACACTCAGGCTTGCGCTCTCAGAGGTAAACTACAGGGGACTAAGATGAGTCCCCAGATACAGAATATATAACTGCCAGTGTCCATTTGTCCTGCACTGCACTGTCCTTCACCTTCTCTAAATCCCAGTAGTTCCGACCAAAAGCATAGATAGCACAGTTAGGTTCTAACAAGAACCACATAAAGATACAAAGAAAAAATGTATGCTGGGAATAAGCGAAACATGAAGAGCAAGGACAATATGAGAGTATCAGAGGAAATTGTGTGTCATTGGGACTATATAAAATCTGCAGACAAGGAGGGGAATGTGCACCTTTGCTGGATGGGCAGGATTTACTTTGCATTACGGTATACAGGCAGAAAGGAATTCTCCTGCTTTGATTTCCAGAGGCCAGGAAATTCATGTATGGTCTTCCCCCCACGGTTTCTTGTTTCCCAGCAGACATTTTCCCTCACTTTCCTTCCTCCCTCCCTTGGATACCTCCTCCATCTTCAGACAGACTCCCTGAGTTGCTGGTCACATCACAGGATCTAGCTGTCCGTGAAAATCTTCAGATGTTATTTGCTCTGTTGAACTCCAGGAACGGGTAATGGGTAATCCTGCACGCCAGAAGCTTTGCAGGCCATGCACGCTAATTAGGTTTCAAATTTGCAATGCATTCTCTTATGCATCACAAGGTGGAAGGTTACTAGCATTATCATTGTACATTGATTGCTTCATCTCCTTCCTAAACCGCATTGCTACCGTGCCTTTGAAGTGAGAAGTTACATTTTGTAACATTTTAGTAAAATAATGCCAAATAAAACCTTCCATCATTGCAAAAAAGGAAGACACACAGGGTGCCTCTTCCGAACATACGTTGTCTACCTCTGAAATTTATTATGCATGGGTTCTTCAGGTGGGAACCTTTGTACCTGGAAAGCAGGTATGGCCTGCAGCACATCTTACAACTCTTTGGAGAGTGCATTTTGTTATGCAGGTCTGTACTGGATTGATATACTGCTGGAACTACACACTTAATAAGTGCTAAGTAAGAAATTATTTATGGCTCCAAATATAGAAGATCAGATGCTTATCTTTCAACTTTTTCCTTTTTTTCCAATACACCTACATTCATAAATGCAGTGCTACAGATAACAGAATATTAAAGCTTAGGTATATTTCCCTGGTTCAAGAAAGACGAGGAACTCCTAGAGAGAATCCAGAGGAGGGCAACAAAGATGATGAGGGGACTGGAGCATCTCACCTAGGAGGAAAGGCTGAAAGAGATGGGCTTGTTTAGCCTGAAGAAGAGAAGACTGAGAGTGGATCTCATCAACACTTACAAATATCTTAAGGGTGGTTGTCATGAGGATGGAGCCAGACTCTTCCCAGTGGTGCCCAGCGACAGGACAAGGGACAATGGCCACAAACTGAAGCATAAGAGGTTTCAGTTGAACATGAGGAAGAACTTCTTTACTTTGAGGGTGACAGAGCACTGGAACAGGCTGCCCAGGGGGGTTGTGGAGTCTCCTTCTTTGGAGATACTAAAAACCTGCCTGGACGATGTCCTGTGCAACCTGCTCTAGGTGAACCTCCTTTAGCAGGGGGGTTGGACTAGATGATGTCCTGAGGTCCCTTCCAACCCCTGCCATTCTGTGATTCTATCATTCTGTGACATCAGGAAAAAGAAAAAAAAAAAAAGTTTAAAGGATAAGTCACAGTAAATACTTTTGTTGTTGAAGATCTTATTACCTGATAGCATTACAGGTAACATCTAAGAAAGAGAAAATACAGTGGTTTAGGTATCAAACAATTTATGTAAAATGTACATAGCTTACAATTCTTACAAGCAGCAGTAAATTTGTTAAAGAAGAAAATACTTTAATTGCACAACCATTAAAGAAATTATGGCAAGATACATTTATTTTCAATAATGAATTCCTCCTTAAGGAAAGCTGAGTAGCTAGCATTCAAACTCTTCTTCAAAATTGCCTCACTGTCAAGCAAAAAACCCCAAAGGAGCAGAATTATTTCATCCCCCCCAAAAAACCCTTTTTGAATAGGAACTGATAAAATAAACTCATATGTAACTTTATTTGTTGAAGAATCTCATACAGCAATTTGGTTTTAGTTCTACGTTGCAATGAGGTGTCAGAAAGCAGAAGACAGAGAAGAAATTGCTATTTGAACAGGCATCACACACATTTTCCCAGAATGTCGAAATAAGTAGTCTGTATGGTTACAAAAAGATCTATGAGGAACACCACAGATGTGCTAGGTTTGATTAACAGAATGCAAAATATTGGTCAGAGGGAAAAAGAAAGCAAATGTGAGCTGCAATTTCTTCACTGAAATATGAGAAAGTTTTCCTGATGCTTCCAGAACAAATGCTGAATGCCCAGTCAGACTCCCTACTCTGAGTACAGATTTTACATTGAAAGGTAAGATGTTGCTAAGAATTACTCTTTTCAAGCTCACTTCAAAGGTGCATTCAAGGAAACTGTCTGCAGAGAGGGATTACAGAGGGACTGCACAGCTACCTACTGGAACATCTCTATGTAGCACTTCTGTTGCTCTTCCAGTTTGAGTAGCACCTATTCCTGGACTAGTGTTGTAGACACCCAAGTCATCTTTGTGAGTGATGTGCAACTTCCAAGGGAAGAAATGCTTCTCAGAGGGCCTTCTCCTGCTCTGAGACACCATGAGTTCAACATCCTGATCAGAGAGCAACCGGATCAGATCACCATCAAGGTCCCGGTAATTCAAAGCAATGTCATCTTGGCCAAACTCCTGCCTGGTAGAAAAGAAAGGGATTGATCCCCAGAAATCAAGGAATGCCTGGGAGGTGCTGCATGATGAACAATGTACTGGCAATCTAATTCATTCTGCTAAAAGCCACACAAAGCCGTGGGTGTCTTGGCATTCTTGATACAGCTAGTACTAGAAAACATACAGCCACACTCACGCTGTGCTGTGTTTAAGCTAACAAATCTCTCAGAACCAAGAACCATTTCCAGTAACACCACATGCACGGCACAGTTAATCTGTGAGTTTGATAAAATTCCCATACATAAGAGCTGACTGTAGTGAGTACCCACTTTTGCCTACTTACGGCTGCTTTTTTTGAGGGGAGGGAAGGTTAAGGAAAGGAAGAATATTAGCACAGGTCTTCTATGACTCATGTTTGATGTTCTAACGGTTTGATGTTCAACACCAGTTTAGTTTAACGGGTGTTAGAAGGCAGTGTCCTGCATCCGGAAGAAGAATATTAGACAAAAGATCCTTGCATGCGGCTATGGTGCTGATCTTAGCACAAGAAATGGAAACCATCACAACTGAGTTAGAATGGTGTGGCATTCCATGCTTACTGACAATCCCAAGGCAGACCAGTGTCTGCACAGGTGGCCCTGGGCCAAGTCAAAGAACAACTTCCTCAGGACACCTGAAAAGTATTTCACACCCAAAACATGGTGATGACCAAGGAGAAGGTGGAAAATCTAGGACCGGAACAAACTTGACCAACGTTTAAATGCTATTAAACATAGAGCTAAGTGCTTGCACTGTACCTCATCAACTCCGTGAGCTCTTTGAATGACGGAATGCTGCTCAGATCCTCTTCCACTGAGATATCCCTGTAACAAGAACAAATCTAATCATCACGTATCACAAAAAGAGAATTGTCGGCGTTTCTTCAGCAGTGAGCTGGAGGACTACTTTCTTATTACCTGATAGTGCTCACAGCCTCCTCGTGGTAGTAACAGCGAACTTTATTAACCGTGTCTGCCTGCTGTGGTAAATCTTTTATGATCTTCACAAAAGCACATGGGAAAATCCCAGTGACACCACCAGCTGTTCCCTGGGATGATAGGACGTGTTAGAATGAAGAAAACCGTGCCGTTTTGGCCACATACATGAGGTCTGGAATTCAATTAATTTCCATGGAAACAACCTACTATAATCAAGAAAAGAAAGGCAATGTAAGTGACCTGACGGCATCCCTACAAAAAGATGATACAATTGTGCAGTCCAATGCAAGGCCAGGGAGTGAAAGGGTGTGTAAAGATGCAAGTCAGATGGTTATCAAGGAAGGCTGTGGTGTTTGAGCAAGCAGAGATAGCCTATCAGCAAACACACAGTATGTTCTCCTCATCCTTTTTCAGAACGCGGCTGCATTGCCCAAATTCTCTCTAATCAGGCTGACGTGTGTTGTGGTACGAAGCACGAAGTATACAGCAACTCACCCTGCGGCAAGAAACCAATTAATCGCTGAAATGGAGTTTCCATCTCCTTGCTGTGGCCTTCTTGTGGTCTACTCGCTTCCAAAGAAGTTAAGAACATTCCAGCAGAAGCAAATGCAAATGAAAACTGAAGACTAGGGGGCAGAAAAGTTGTAAGCTAAAAGCCATCAAGGAAGGAAAGAATTTCAAATTTGGAGTCAAGGATTTATTCTTGACAGTAAGACCTGATTATGACAGAGTTTTTTTTCTTTGAAAGGAGGAGGCACGTCCCAAGGGCTACAAGAGTCCTTTCTACTCACATATGTCAAGCTATGCGAGTAATTCAGTCCTGCTCTTGAGCCTTACCTCCAACCAGTCTTTGTTTACTCTGCTCAGTAGATAGATCAAGTCTCCCTTCTTGAAGCTGAGTTCCAGTTTATTGGTTCCAGAAAAATCAAACAGTGCCTATGGAAAGGAGTAACACTGAAATGGTTAATTCACAGAATTACAAGCATGAATCTTTCTTTCTGCTCTGCTCTTGGGGTGAAAGCCTAAAGCAACATGATCGTACGCATTTTGTCATCACAGATGTATTTCTGGGGTAAGATCATCTCTATGACTGTGGTCTGCCATTCTCACAAGTTCTTCTGCTCAGCACACGCAAAAATGCTCTGAAGAAGTAGTGAAAGCACTGAGAGGGCTACGTGCTGGGGTTCTTAAAGTGACAGGACACTGAGCACCAGAGAAATAAAGAAGTTGAAAGCACTTGAGAGCAAGTAAAAATAAAGAAGTTGAAAGCACTTGAGAGCAAGTAAATCAACAGAGTTGAAGACAATTGCCAATCTGAAAACTTGAAATCCCGAGAATTGAAAAAATAGATATTATTTCTGGTTGCAGCCTTACAGCTTTCAGATTTGCTACAAAATATCACAAAGAGCCTTAAGAACTGCAGAAGTGTTGTGTCCTAATTGAAGGGTAACTCACTGTTGTTTCCACATTGAGCTTTCAGGCCTGTATGCTGAATGGAGAGATTTGGGGAAGTCTGAGAAATTGACATGTAGTTAAAATGAAACTTAGATGCCCCCTTCAGTGAAAAAAACAAAAACAAAAACAAAAACACCAACCCAAAAAAGGCAGTAAGCACATGCTACCACCCTAACAAGCCATTCTTGAATAATTTCAGTGGCCAAATTACCAAAAATGCACATCTCCCCCATTGTCCTTAGAGAACATGGTAGCCATTACAATGGTCTTAGAGGAGCAGAAATGAAAAGGTGTTCTTTATTCTGTGTTGAGATGGTTCTTTTGGTCTTGCCAAATGCCCAGAGTTCTCCCAATAAAAAAAAGACAACGGCTACTGTCGTGCTGGTATTTCATATTTCTACTTAATAGCTCTTTCAAAAGCCTTTTTTCATTTATTGAAAATTTTTGGTAGGTATATTCAATATTAAGAAATTAATAGATAAAACCCAAGAGATATGATTGATCCAAGGCCTGCCACACTCAGTGTAAAAAACAAAACCAACAAACCTCTAAGCACTTGCATGGGTTTGTTTTAATCTTCCAAGGCAAAGTCGTATCTTCCAGGAAGCAAGTCCGTGCTCATACAAGTACTGGTTACAAAGCAGTTCCATGTGCTTAATACCAAGACAATAGACAGCAAAGTACAGTATAGGCGCTTTTCAGCAGAACACTTATGTTACAGAAAATAGAAAGATGCCTCACCTGCAAAGCTTTTAAACATATGCTGAAGTCAATGAGACTGAAGGTTGTGCTTGTTTTAAATTTAATTTCTTTGTATCACTATGTAAATGTGGACCATTTGGCACGCCTCTCAGTTTTGAACCTCCCATCATTCTGACTTCACAATAGGCCTTCTCATTACTCAAGTAAGGAGGAACAGACACTTCTTTCCATCCTTTGTTTCATTCCCTGTTGTTAAAATCAATTGATTTCCTGTGTTGATTTCACTTTCCTTTCTTTCCTCAATCTCTAATTGGAAAAGGGAACTTGATTGATGAGATACCCAAGTTAAGCAGAGTTTTATCTTCTGTCCTATGACAGACTGTGCAGAGTACTCACCTCAGCCCGTGGAGTTGCCGTGCGGTCAAAAACAGGCACTTGAGGTGAAATGCTTTTACTGTAAAGAAAGAAGACAGCAGGGAAGTAAATGTGTCATTCTGGTCATCAAAAATACTACACAATCAGTAGTACAGTGTCTGCGTTTTCATTATTTAAGAGGCAGGCAAGCCATAGATCACTGGAGAAACTGCATGAGAATCTGTGTGCAGCACTGAAGTAAATAAATATGGATGCAACAACATTGCCCTAGTTCTCTGAGTTTCAGTGCAGAGCAGCAGCAATCTGATGATGTCTGCTGTTAAGAACAGATGGAATTTTCAATACAGTCAGTATCCTGGACCTCTCTTCCACAGCACTGCTCAGCCCCCCTACACTGCCTTCTGGGCATCCCTGTTTCTAGCGTTTATGGCATTCAAACTGCCATCATGCACACATCCAGGAATGCATACACATGTGCAGTTTTTGCATTGTTTGTAGTAAGTGAAAAGGAAGCGAATTCATCTTTGCTGTGTTGAAAGGAGATTTAATTTGTCTAAAGGGTAATGAAGTATGACGTCTACTTAGCAGCTCTCCAAAGGGGTGTCAATGCTGCTATGTAGGACAGGCCCCTGTTTAGACAAAGGACAGGGACAAATTAAGTATTCAGTTTCATTTAGTGTCTGAACCAGATCTCACTGAATCCAGTGCCAAAACTCACATTGACTTCAGTGGTGCAAGCCTATGTCCTTAAGCTTGGCCTGCATATTCTGCACATTCTGATAGATATTGCCATTGAAGAATTATTAACAGATAGAGCTGAGCAGCATTTTTTTTAAAGTAAGCTATACTCTCATTTTGAAATTTTCTGTTAATGCAAGTACCACATCCACTTTAAAAATTTGAGATTACTGAAAACAAGAAATACCCTGTGTTCACTCTACCACAAAGATCCTCATATTTCATGGATTCACTTGGGAAACACAGTGGTGATCCTCATCTCTTCCGCCCCCCCCCCCCCCCCCCCCCAAAAAAAAAACCAAACCAAAACTGGACAGCATCTCTTACATCAAGCAATGCTGAAAAAACATGTCAATCACTTACACTCGGCGTGTCCGTGGGCGAAGCCTTCTCAGCCTGTGAGGCACCTGTTCACTATCAAAGGTTGAGTGGTAGAAGAACAGCCGTACCTCTTCATCCATCAACACCCAAACGGGTAGGCAGAGGAGGTTCTGTGCCAAGAGCAAGTAGCAAGCAGAGTGTAACAGTGGGAGAGACTAATTCTCTATTTATTTACATGTAACAAGCATGCCTCTCTGACCTACAGGATCACGAAGGATATCCATTACTGCCAGAAACCTCCCTCCTCTCCCTTCTCACCCAGCAGGACATGGCTGAGCAGCTGACAGTTTCTCCTGTTTACTCCTGGAGTTGGCCAATGTATTGCTTCACTCTTTTGGTGCCTGATTTACTGCAGTAGGAGTAAATTGCTCTTTGCATTTCCCTTCAGAACATGAATGACCATGGAAAGAAGGCAATCTTAAGTACTGGAAGTCTTGGCTTCAGACTTTTACTGGTTTAAAGTCAGGTCTTCAGTTCACCTGCACACAAAGAATTTCTCTCCTTGATGTTACTGGCTGTGTCTTCACTGAGGAGCAGTACATCCAGAAGCCCACCCCACTCCCCTAGTCCCTTAGGTACACATATCAACTCCATATTCACACAACACCTGGAGATTCACCATTTCCTCATACATCTTCATTTTGGCGTTTTTTTTGTAAGGATATCTGCCTACATATGAAGGCAGGCAGTGAGCATTTGTGAACTGCGTACTCCAGCAGATCCTACAGTCTGAACAATCTGGGGAATAGCACTGCAGGTTGTCCCACAGTGTGGACACTGTGTCTTCAGGAAAAACAATACAGAGAGAAGCAGATACCTAGGACTACAACAGTGCAGTGTCTCTCAGCTGATTTCAAGGGGTAAGTATCTGCAGTGTTCAATGCAATCTCTACCATAAAATTAAGTTTTACCTTCATGTAGACATTTAGGATAGGAATCCTGTTCTCAGCAATTTCCTTTTTGGCCCCGACATAAACTTTTCCTGGAAAATATAAAACCTGTGACAGTTATTGGATTTTAAAAAATAGAGGCTGTCAGAGAAATGAAGCAATCAGGATAAAGTAGGATTTCCAAGAAAAAACATATTTTCTAAAGGATTTTAGGTTTCTAAATGAACTTCACTACAAGTGGAGGGACTGCCAGTAGAACTTGACTTCTCCAGCATCCACAGCTGGGAACTAGTTCCTTGTCACGACTACTTTCCTGCAATGCATTCCTCTTTAGGACAGCCTGAGGCTGCTGATCATGCACAGATTTGGTACTGACAGCTTACCTGGCAATGTGGGGAGTGTGCAGGTAAAAGGGCTATTGTTGCTCTCTGCTCCGTATCTCTCCTCTAGTTTCGTGTGCAGGGCGTAGAACTGACGATAGCGTCGGAAAATCAGGTATCTGCCACCACCTTTAAGCTTTACTTCAATGACAAACAGCTGAAACAGAGAAGGGAGATTCAGGCTGATGTTCATGCTTATAAATATTTATCAGATGAAAGTGAGGCATGCAATAGGAACATAAGATCAGTGCTCTGGCAGTGGGAATATCGTCTTAGGGCAGTGGAAAGTAAGCCTTCAGTTGAGCATCTGCAGACTAAAGTACTAGAAAACAACAAGTTAGCACCAGACAGTGTGGTATATGTGGGGGTCCAGCTTTCCCATAGATCATGTCCCTGTGGGTGCTTTCTATTATCTAATCTTAAAAGGACACCTGAAATGACTAAATGTTGCTTTATGCTTACTCACCTTCCCTCAGTAACAAACAAAGAATAGTAGGGAGGTAAATACAAATATTTTACAATAGGATGCTTTGAACATCTAAAACTATAGACAGACATCTAAATGAATTGATTTTCAGAGCTGAAGGCATTCATACTTCTTTTTGACTTTTTTTTTTTACTTTAATGTATTTAAAGTATTTTTTACTTTCAAGTATTTTGACTTTAAATTATGGTCTGACCAAAGGAAAGGCTGGAAAAAAAACCTTAGTAGCTTTACTTCTAAAGCCCTCCTCCAACCACTACCTTATTTCTTGTCTCTTGCCAAAATTGCTTTGCTCTAGAGGAGCCAATTTCCATGCACTGACCTCTGAGTCACATTGCAGCCAAATCCTTCAGAAAACATAAAGACAGACCAACTGTCACTATATTCCACAGTAAAACCTGCATACTGCAGCGGGAAGGCTTTATGAGCAATGTTTCCAGCAAAAGCAGCATACCCTGAAGAAGTCAGACTGAGTTGGTCTTATGCAAAACCCCTCTTCAGAACATCTCATAATGCTTTTCCCTACTATTCCCTTCCTGTGTGCTCTTTCATGGCTGATGAATATGCTACCTTCTGTGGAGATGGAAGCATCCTAACTTGCCAGTACCATGGAATAATGAAGACTAGACCCTGCCCTTCAACCCACTTTGAATTCCTTTCCCATTATCTTCACTAAAGGTACAGCACTCTAACAGGAAATAAATCAGAAATTAGTTAAGAATTTAGAAAACAAGCAATGTTACAGGATACTTCTGTCACATTTCACCCAGACAATAAATTTTTAGATAAATCTGTGATAGACTAACCTGCATTCCAGAAAAAAAGAAAAATCACTGAGAAGGTCTCTGCATAGAACTATTCATGCCAAAAAACTACACCTCATTAACTGCATTTTGCTTCCCACAATCAAACCAGTCACTGATGAGGGCATATAGAGACAGGATAAATCTTCCTTCTTACATAATAATTAGTAAAGCCTTTCTTCTCTTCAATATCTGCAATGTTAGCTGAAACTGGTACATCATCCGGAAGCTGGTCAAAATCACTGTGAAGCAAGAACAAAAGATTTAGGTTACTTGTACTGGCATTAGCCTTCAGAGGTCTCTGTGCCGTATAGAACAAAGTTAGGCAACATCACATTACTTAGTGTCAAAACCAGGAAGTTAGAAACTTGTGGTGTCATTCTCTTCCTCTAGAGGTCTCATCTTGAGATGTCAAATTTCTATAAGTTCAGCACGAATCAGCAACCATAGTGACGGTTCATCAAGGCTGAAAAACAGCTCTATCATTCCTAGGCTTGCTGGGGTAGCAGGACTACAAAAGAAACACTTGAGCTGGTAAGCTTTTCCCGAGAACTGTGATCAACTGTGGATGCATCTTAATCCTTCATACAGCATCTAGTAGACTTACAATAATAACTGCAGCAGTATCCCTTATTCTAAGGAGATCATTATGTATCATGATTTATGCTGTTATTATTACTGCATTACTGTAGGGAATAGGAAACAGTTCTGAGAAAACAGCTTGTTGTGCTAGGTGCTGTAGAAACTGACAGCACAAAGCTGATTCCTAAAAACCTTACACTCTATGTGTAAGATGCATACAATGTACCTTATACGTATACAATAAGAAACAACAGAAGGATAAGCACAAATGGGAAAAAAGCAAAGCAACAAAGATATAGTATTGTTCTATATCATAACTAGTGGTGCCTGTGCCAGCTGTCAAAATGTTGTCAAGCTTTCTTGTAAACATCACAGTAAAGCAAACTCTTAAAGAGGCTTTGAAAAAAGAAAGAGTAGCCTAGCAAATATTTGCAGGAAGACATCCCAGTCACAGCAAATAACCTGAAGCAAGCACAAAGATACTTGTTTGAAAATGTCCAAAATGCGTGAAGGAATACATGATAGCGGGCAAGGTTAGAATAAGCTTTGCAGATCCTAGAAAGTGTTGGATTTGAAGCAAGAGAGAGGAAGGATCCATGTCGGAACACCTAAAGAGCAGCCATATGACCATGCTCTCATGTTTCGTCTGGTTTGTCCACACAATAAAACAGCACGGATTGGCAGGTGCTTTTTCCTCTGGGACCTTCTCCTTGGTACAACATCTTTGACAAACAGAAGACAAATTCACCTTTGCTTCAGTCTTACAACTCAATGTTGTTAGAGTGGTATTTATATTAGCACTTAAGTAAAAAGGATCAAGAAGGGATAATGAATGAGGTAGAGAGAAAGAGAAACTTTAAAAAGGATCATCTAAAAAATGCCAAGCTGATGTAATGTTAAATATTCTGATAATACAAATCCCATGGCGGTTGGCTCAGTTTGTTCTGCTGGGAGAATATCCCAAGCAGGGGCTTCCACAATGCATAGTCCATCTGGAAGGCTGAAGTAATGATGCAAAGTCTTGCAATAGCTCGCTGTACGTGGAGAATGACATGAATCAGCACCACCCACACCACCATAAATACTACCACTTACTGTGAAGAGGGATGTGGTTATGGAGATCAAGAGAGATAATTAGTCATATCATAAACACTCACATCCCAAACCCCAACAAAAGGGAAACTGTTTGCAGCTATAAAGAGGACAATGACCCGCTATTGTCCTAGGTGGTGAATATTCCCAGGAAAAGAAGAAAGCAAGGTCACTCCAGCTTAAGAAATGGTCTGCTCCACACTGAGCAGCCTAACAGTTTGGAAGCTACAATAACAAGAAGTCTTTTAGAATCATCAAAGAAGCTTGCATCCAAATTAAATGAACAGATCGTAACAGTTACATGGAGGCTTGTGGAGAGGCAGGAAGAGGGAGAGGCACATTACCTCTTTTCTCGCAGCTGTCGGGGAAGAGACATGGTTTTCAGCTTCTTAAATCCAGATGGCTAAGCTCTGTTCCTCCACTTCTTGGGCAGTTCCTGGTTGAATAAGATGAACACAGTCAAAGCAATTCTCCCTGCATGAATCAAGACTGCTTTGCAAGGCCTCAGAGATCTTTTTTTTAATGTTTCAGTGTCAGACGATTTCTTCTGTACCTCCCCACCCCCATGAGATTGAGGAAGTACTAGAGAAAAAACAGTCATAAAGAAAGACTGTTTTGTGATGTCTGTCATGTATCGAAACTGCCACAGTTGAGAAACAAAAAGCCCAAGAAAAAGCAGAAACTATGAGACATATATTCCATTGCCCACCTCTTCACTGAAACATCTGCCTTTATATTTTTATATATATTTTTTTATTTATTTTTTTATATATATATATTTATATTTATATATATAAAGTGCCTATCACCATATTGATAAACATTCTTTGGAACCACTCTGACAGCCAGTATGAGTGGGCTCAACAAATTCTAGTTTGCCCCAGCTAAAACGTCCCCATATACACCTCTACACTAATGTTTGTACCTAGGATGCATACTTCTGATGCCTTCTTGAGGCTCTGTGATTTGCAAGAATTCTCCTTTCCACAAACCAAGAGCCAGGAGGTGGAGCTAAAGAATAAATCTTCAAGTGGGAGCAGAAACTCTGGTCAGGAAATTCAACCTTGTCAAACATATGGGTATCAGGGTATCAGGCACAGGAGATTA